GGTAGTGGTTATATTGGTGTTGACATACGTAGGTCATCGCACGTCGTGCAGCAGTTGAGCGCGCTGGGGCGGCGGCAGCGGCGGCTCGCAGTCGCCGACGGCTGCCAGGTCGCGGGGCTCACAACTCAGCCGCGAGGCGCGGGCGCAGATCGAAAGTTCGACGCGAGATCGAGCGCGCATATGTAAATATCGGCACATTTACAAGCGAAAGGGTTCACCAGAGCGGCGCACTAACGCAGCGTTGCGCGGGAACCAGTCCGGTGAGATTCCTACGGCGTCCGATAGAAAAATGTCGAATGAGCTTCGGGTCCATCACTCGGTGCGGGTGTGTGGTACGTAACGCGGCCGCCGCTCGACTGCCGCCCTCCTCTCACCGCCACTGCTGGTATATTTATCGCTTAATTATTGAACTCGTCTGTGTAACAATTATGAAGCAGCTCGCCGAGTGGCAGGCTCGCAGCGCTGGCGGAGGGCGCGCGGCGCTACCGCGTCTGCGCTGGCGCGTTGCGTCACAACCTCACAGCGCTGGCGCGCCGCCGCCGCACGCGCAGCCTTCAGATTTTATCTCAACAGCCGACAGCCAATCGGCTGCTCACCTGTTATATTCATTTAAAACATTAACCTCCAACTTACATCATTTAGCGATATCTTCCTGTCTTCTGTTTCCGCGGTATATTCATCTCAATGTACCTATGAGTGAATAATGCACTAATAAATAAACAAACACTTAACAAGAACAATAATAATCATACACCACGCACTTATATAACTTAAATATATAAACATAGAAACTCGGAAAATAACAAATCACATCAAACTAAGTATTCAAATCGTCAGTAAGTATCTATAGGTCTCAATTATCAGTGACTTCCAAGTTTCAGAATTAAGAGCTTAGTCAACCACGTAGACGCCAATACACCACCAAAGATGGGGCCCTATATAGGTATTTTTGAGAGGGGAAAATTATTTCGGCTTCGACCTTTCGGTCGAGCAGGAGAAGGAGCTGAAGTTTTAGTCAGTAAGAGTCTGACTAGGCGGGAGAAGTATTTAAATGATTTTGCCCTCACAAAAAAGTCAACCACTAACTCCTAGCACATATAACTTGTATAACTATCGAGATTCGTATTTAATGTCTAGTTGTCACAAGTGTGACTGTCGTGCAAGAGGTGTAGGGTTCGAATCGCCGCGCCGCCCCCAAACTATTGATTTGTTTTTCTGGTTTTCGACGCTTTCTCAGTAATAGACAGACATTTGGAGTAATGCCATATTATAAGGCAGAATAAGAGAATTATATATAGGTATTGTAATTTGGATTTCTTACCTCTGCCTTCACCTGCACATTTGCGGATTAGAAGGCAAAGTAATCTTTCGAGCCATAAAAGTTGTATTATGCTTTTACAAATGAAGCCAGTGAGCCAGCTTAACTTGGCCAGTGATGGCAATAATAGCCGGGGAAACAACTTTGAAAAAAAAATGTTACCTTATTGCACCGACTCGAATATGCACTAATTGTTAATGTGTAAAATATAGTGTTTATTATATTAAGTGAAAACATAACTGAACGCCAGTTATTTATGAACTTTAGGTTGTACTAATAAGAGTGTCAAACAACCACTGCCACTATTTTGAACTTTGTGCTAAGACAACCTATTCTCAGAAATCGACTCACGATGAAGAATTTCTCATGATGTGAAATATGTACCTACAGCAACTTTTTTTTTTTATTAATTGTATAATTTTTTTTATATTACAATGACGGGCACAAATTTAAAAACAGTTTGTCGTCAATTTGTTCTTTTTGTAGCACAATCTAGAATACCATCCACGACAATGACACTGTCACTGTCTTGACAGCATGTCACTGTCATTTGTCAAAATATGTAATTGTAATTTTTTAAATTTGATCAAGCAAGTTCAGGGTCATTTCCGAAAAAATGTAGAACTTTAACAAAGAAAATAATAATTTTGCATATTTAACGGCACGCAAATTCTAAAGAAGATAGCTATATGTGTTTCTAGAATTATGATTTTCAGTCCACAGTCATTTAAAATGTATAGCAGGACCAAAATATAGTAAGTTTTATTCCATAGCAACCTTTACTCATTGTTTTTGTTAATAATTTATCAAAAAATACCTATAGCATGAATTTTATGTTAATGTTTTTTACGTAAAAAGATGATATCATTAATATATATCATAATATTTCAGTTGTGGGTGTACCAGTGGGATGGTATGCAGATTTTTAAGCTCTGCAGAAGTGTCTACTGCTCTACGACCTTTTTACTTTAGTGTTCATCCAGATTTATTTGGAAAATATCCAGAACAAAGGGTATGTTTTAAAATTTCAAACTTTGAAAGTATATTCAAATAATATACTTTCGAAAGTATATTATTTGATATATGAAAGCCTAGTCTAGTCTGGTGCATGTGTCAGTAGTCTACAGTCTATATTCTCACATGTTGTTATTGATACACCATACCAAGGTGGTGATTTTTAACTGACAATCAACTCAAATTTGTAGCCAATAACTCCATAATAGTAAAAACAGATTATAGAATAAGCTATCACTGTAAATGCAGCAATTTTAATTAAGCTATCTAACTTGTACAAACTTACTAATAATTTATAATCCATTGTTTAATGTAATCTTTTTTTTAGAAAATCAATGAAAACTCCTTACAACAGCTTAGTGCCCTTATAGAAGCTCAACAATCTAGCAAAAGGATTTCAGTTCCGCCATTATCATTCTATTTGAGACAAAAGGATAAGCCAGATGGTAAACAGAAACATTTTATTTAATTTGAATATTTTAAAAACAGTAAAAACAAAATATTATTTAATAATAACTTGCTTTTTTCAGGTCAATTTAAACTAATAAAGATCCAGTTAAATAGCAATAATGTAAGAGAAACAGTTGTAAAAGTTCTCAATGCCTGTGATATCTCTACCAAGTACATTGATAAGATACCTGATAGGCCAAAAGTATCTAACTTCAGGTTGGTATCCCCTAGATTGCTTGTTCAAAATTTCTGTTATCTAATCATATTTGACTAGGCAAACACTTGAATAGGTTTCTAACAACAGTTCCAATCAATATCAAATGTAAGATTTTTTTCCTTGTCAACATTCTGTATGGATTACTGTCACACACAAACACACATACATTTATGTAATAATATCTTTTGTTTACAGCAAAGCCTTCAGTAACAGAAAGCATGACTATGCATATGAACAATATGAAAAAGAATTTGATGTTGGTCAAATCAAGAGGAAAGTGGCAGAGAAAAAGTTCAGTGCTAATATTGTGTAAGTATTTTATGCCTGAACTTTTTAACTGAAATTTAAAAATATCAAATTAAATTTAAATAATTTGTTTAATTTTACAGTGAATGGGTACATGCAAACAGCAGAGATGCAAAAAACAAATATGAATCTGCAGCTGCAACGAGGGAGCAAGTGCAATCTTTAATAAGCAACCTATGCAAAACTTATGGTATTAAACAAGTTGGTATAATATGAACATTGAATAATCATGCATACTCATTGCCATTGCTTTTAAAGCTTGTTGAGTAAATCTTAAATAGATTGATTAATTGCCAAGCTACTATCATCATTTTAGTCAAATTATTTATGAAAGATGACCTGAGACTATGAAAAATGAATATTGTATGGATTCAGGTAAAATACGACAGTGGTTGGAATATGAGCCATATAAGAGGCGCATTGCAGAGTTTAGACGCCCTGGCCTCGCAACATCCTAACATTATGACGAATTTAGAAGGTGAGTACTCAGAATTATCCTTACATAATTCATACGAAAATAACATACTGCTGTTTCTTATATCTCGTTATTTTGGCTGTGTTCCAAAAATTATTTTCTAAGATATGTGGAGATCAGTATGTTTACTATGAAAGTTTCCATTTATAAAATATTTTAATATATTGTTTATTTTTTTGGTTCAGGCAGGACAATAGCACTGGGTCAGTTTACTGGAGTCAGTCTAGATGGCGATGTGTTTCTCAATATTATGGATGTTCGAAATGAATGGATGTCGGTGAGCATACATAATTTACCTTACCTTAACCTTATAAGTTTTATAAGGTTACCACCAATCTTTATTTTTCAAGTACCTAATCTTATTTTGACATTATTTTACAGTTGATAAAGAAAGTAAGTCAAGAAGACAGTGCCTTAGTAATGATACCTAATTATGAGAAAGCATTGTCTAGTATACTCAGAGATATACACATACGGCGAAGGTAAGAATTATATACAACCTACCCCACAATTCACTAAAAAAGCTCATGAAATTCTATTCTTATAGTATTTTGTTATTTTTAGGAAATTTATGCCCAAAGTATCTGCATACCAGTACTGCAGTCATTTGAGACAGTTAATCACTTCCATAGGCGATTTCTATGGTCGTGGTTCGAAGTTCCCGCCGGGCGTGCCTGAATCTCTGCAGAAATACGAAATAGTTATTGAACCGTAAGTCCACAACTTTGTTTAATTACTAGATGGACTAGTAAGAATTCGTTTCGTTGAGTTTTGTGGATCATGCGTCGTGTAATGCGCAATGTCCTGCTACGAAAAGGTCTTAGATTTTATGTCTCTAGTTCTTAACATAACATGCTAATTTTTTCAGGGAAGCGGGTCCTCTAATGGTTTCGCCTACTGGTCAGTTTATCACACCATCTTCTTGTCCAGCTGGAGAACTTGTGGCGTTCATTGCAAGTCATTTAGATGAAGCTACCCTTTTGATGACGGAATATAGCATGTAAGTTCAAACCATTTTTACTGGTACCATCACAATTGGTTCATCGCCAGGTTACCAACCACCAACGTAATTTGTATGCGCTATTTATGTACCACATTAGGTTATCAGGAACTTTATGAAGATAAACAAAGTAGTAAACTTTAAACCAAAAAATATTATAATAGTAGTAAAACTTTAATTCTGAGTAACCTAATCAAAAAACACTTTCCTCTCGTTTTAGAAATAAGCATGTGGAGAAGGCACTTCACAAAGAAGTTGTCAAAAGGTTCGGTCTACTGGATCTTCGAAAGGATGATAGCATCACACCAGCTTATATGATTTCATGTTGCCAAAGGTTGCTGACGCGAAGCGAACAGCTACATGTGGTAAATATGAATATATATAATTATGTTCTGAGATATTTTTATTGCCTGTTATTGAACGCTAACTGGGCGGTTCCCCTGATAATAAACAATCATTAGAGATGGAAAGGAGTGGGATTGAGTCACCTTCAACCACCACCACCACCAATGTCCAGAACGCCACATTTTTTATATTCGATATTTTCATCACTGGTATAAGATGAATACAGTATTTTGCAACTCATCAAATTCAATAATTTAATTTATTGAAATAAGTTTAATAAATATATATAATTTGGACGAAGTGACATCGTGTATTTAAGTGAAATGGCAATTTAGTCCTCATAAAAATTTGCTAGAAGATTATAATTATAGTGAAAACTTAATGAATTTGTAAATGATTTTGGACATTTTACTGTATTGAAAAGTATAAATAATTTATTGTTCACTGAAAAATACCCAATTTCTATTTTTATTTCTATTGACACTAAAGCTATAATCATAACGGTCGTATTTCTTTCTTGTTTCAGAAACTTCATGGAACAGTGCTTTTTATAACACATTACTATTCTGTTTTATCAGAAGGGATATTGTGCATACCCTGGAATTTCCAATCATGAGTTATTTTTCGTCTAGTGTAAATATGTTGTAGATAAAATAAAACTTAGATCAATCAATTTATTTTTATATTTCATTTAGAATATTATGTACACGTCTAATCTCGTATTTTGAAATGCTCGAATTTAGTTGAATGTATAACAAAAAGGAATATATTTTTATACACTTAGCGAGTAGAATATAATTGGCAAAAGTATATACAAAAAATTCAAAATCGAATAAAAGTATTTACACATTGCAAAATGCAAAAAATGTGATGTTATATAGAGTAGTTTAGTAAAAGTAGAATGCATAATACAAACTATGGCTACATTGTTACTTCAATAAACAACATTAGATATTTTATAAAGATGAATAATAAAACTGAATTGATAACTGCAAATAAAAGTATGTACAAATATCAGTGCTTTTTATTTTGTTGTACTATGATGAGCTTGTTCTTCTCCTTTGTCACTTTGGCCACTGGAAGATTCGTTGCTGGCATCAGCTGCCGCAAATTTTGACTAGGTATGACAGGCGGCTGAAAATTTAAATAATAAAGGTTATGAGGTAATCATTTAAAATAGGTTTTGGATCCCGTCACGCCCTAAAGGCTGGGATCTTACGGTCGTATGCATGCAAGACTGTTTTGAATAAATGATCGAATAATAAAGAGTACAACGCCTGCACAAGTTTAAAATAAAAAATGGTTTGATCTTGCAACACCCATTTCTACTGATTTGCCATCCCTAACGTCACTATAGTTCGTGATCGACGCCTTTTTGCTGTACGGATTCTTTTTTTAAAGGAGCATTGTTGTTTTTAATTCGCATTTAAATACTCACTGCTGGGCATCGTGCAAGCTGCTGCTTCATGCGATCAACTAATCTCATGGCATCATCAGATGTCTCTGAATCAGTTGTGATGCCTAAAGAAAGGGCCCTTTCTGCGTTTCCCCCGTCCAAGCATCTGTGAATAGACTGGAAGTGCCTGTAACATAAACATAAGTCGAAGAAGTTAACTCCAGTATTTTATTATAGGGTATCTTATAAATGTATAATATTGTATGCGTAATGAACACGTATTGAGTTAAAATATTTGGCAAAAATCGATATTATGCTGGCAACTTTTATGCATAGTGTAGGTCAGGGCGATCGTTATCCCAAAAAAAACTTTATGCATTTCTTTATAGGGTCATTCGTGCCGAAACATGGTTCTCCTAATTTTAACATGTTTTTGCATCGATACCTGTTGGTCAGGATAAAATGTTATATGACATGTCTGTATCACTTATGTTCTAACCAAGGTCTACAGGTAGGTATTTTTCAATGTGTTAGTTCAAAAGGGAAACTTCTCTTAAATTTCCATCTTCAATCTATTCGAAAGTTGTTTACCTGGAATGAGCATGTGGTCTCAATCGCTGCGCGTGTCTCCAAGCCGCAGCGGCGCGGGCGCGCCATACAGCGGCCTCTTCGCTAGCAGAGGCTACGCCAGCCTCCAACGCAGCGCACGCTCCTCGCAAATCTACCACCTGAAGTTTCACATATGTTGTAAATGTACAGACTCATATCCAAACTAATATTATAAATGCGAAAGTAACTCTGTCTGTCTGTCTGACTTTTTTTTCACGCCTAAACTACTGACCCAATTTCTCTGAAATTTGGTACTGGAAATAGTTTGGAACTCAAGAAAGGACATAGGATAGTTTTTGTACCAAAAATCTGCAGGAAGTCGCAATTCCACGCGAACTTAGTCGCGGGCAAAAGCTAGTAATGAATATAATACGAAAACGGGAAAGCAAAAGCAACTTCTGAACTTGAATTATTACATATGACTAAGTACCAAGCGTGAAGTTTCTTTGTATCGGGTTCAATTAATAGAACAGGTATTTTTTGTGAGGGGAAAATCATCAAATTACTTCTCCCACTGGGAGGGCGTGTCAGACTCTAACTGACTAAAAACCCCCCTGTTCCTTGTGAGGTCGCGGTTCCCCAATTGCGCTTACCCCGCAACCCCGGCTGATATAGAACAGGTTTGGAATAATTTACTGACAAAAATAATTATTGTCTAGTGTATACCTTTTTGGTAAACTGGTAAGTTTTATTTTACCTATACAGAGTTCATTTGTTTTCAGATATTCAGCTATAGTTATCGGAATCTTATGAACTTGATGACTTACATTGCGTAACATCTAGGTACCTACAACCTTAATAAGATTTTACGTTCATACATTGATTACGATAAAATTGTAGAAAAGGGTGATAAGGAAACACCTGTGCACAGTGTGAATTCTCATTAGTTAGTAGAAAGTTTATTGGTTTTAATAGAGGTGAAATTTAATTAAAATGATGTTGGACTGTAAGTAAAAAATAATATTTAAAGATTTGCGTAGAAATACATCATTCAAAATTACCTTTTGGAAATACCTATAAAGCAGTGTTTTCATTTCATCATGCGACAATTTATCAAGCCGCGCCATCAGCATTTGTTCCCCTCTACTCCTCGAGTCCTTGTTATCTTGAGAATCTGACAGAGAAGCTGATGGTGATTTGCCACAAATTAAATTGTTTTTGTATTCTATCGCCGTATCTATTGCTTCTATTGCTTCTTCACATTCTAATAGTTTGCGTTCCTGAAATGGTAAGTATTGGACATTGGAAATACATATTTATTTTTTTAAGTCTAGTGGTTGAATCAGAAGCAGTGTAACTAACTGAATATCACTAATTTATTTACCCCTCAGGCTTGATGCCTGGAGGTAATATGGACCCCTTTAAATAATTGATATTCCTTATCAGAATCAAGACACTAACATGATTTATTGAAAAGCATGTGTGTTATATTTATATTTATTGCTCTTTGGAGGAACCAAGTAAATGAAGTGATGCTTACCTCGGAATCTGACAGTGATTTATAAATCTTTCGCTTATGGCCTAAACTGCACCTCTGTTCATGCAGACATTCCCTGGTCTTCCTCAAGTTTTTGATTTCTTTCCTTAACAATAATTCCTTTTCTTTGGACATCTCTAATGTTTCCAAATCATTAGTCTTTTCTTTCAAAATACTGTCTAATTGAGTAATTCTATGTGTAAAGTGTTTAAGTGAGTGTGTTTTCCTGTCTTTAATGTCTACTGAAGTGTCTGAAAGTTCATCCAGCTTCAACTTATCTTTAACTAGCTCTACATCTAACGTATTTTTACGTTTTTCATCTTTCTTTATTTGTCTTTTGATTTGCTCAATTTGTTTTTTATAAGTTTTGAGGTTTGTTTCATGCCTCTTTATCTCTCGCATTGTGTCTTGGTCAATTAAACTACTCTCTATTTTATCAGAATAATGCTTATTTTGTGTATGGCTCATTGATTTTGACAAATCACTTATCAGTCTCTCTTTGGCTATACACAGATTTATCAGTTCTTTAAGCTGTGACTGGCTGCTTCCAATTTCTTTTGAAAGCTTTCTTGCCAATATTTGCTTTTGAGTATATTTTTCTTTTGTCATTTTATACTTCTTGCATATTTCTTCAGTCTTTGGGGTATCTATCATTTTGAGTAATTCTCTTTCAATTAATTTTGGTTCTGGATCCACATCTTTCTTGTGAGATTCTATAATGATTTTTTGAGATTCAGGTGAGATTGCTTTAGCTGCAACTTTTCTTAGTAGCTCTAACTCAGCTCCAGATAGACTTTCACCAGGTTGAATAGTCCTTCTTCGGCCAGAATTTGACTGTGATGTCATCACAGGCAAAGACTGTGATCCACTTAGTTCTGATATTGTGATATCATCTGAGTCAATGTGATTCAAATATTCTTCACATCTGTCAGCAAACAGTTGGTCATTTTTTTCTCTAAAATATTCCATAAATTTTTCAAGTTTGTCCTGGAATACTGTGTCAGAATGAGTATCTTCCTCTGAATCGGAGTCTACATCTGATTCACTGGGTTCACTGGGCTCTGTGTCTTCAGCAATCCTTGGCAGACCTTGTTTTATATTTGCATCTTTATTATCTACACCACCATCACCATTTAAACATTCATCACATTCAGCTTTTAAGAACAACCATTCACTGACCTGGTTAATATCAGCTTCAGACAATGATTTTGACTGAAGAATTTTGTTGAAAAGCCCCTCTGCATTTGAAACCAATTTAATCCATTGTGTTGTAGCAAATTGTAAATTAAAATTATTGTCTCCATGTGGTAGCACTGACTTTTCTGTGTATACAGGAGTGTTGTTATCAGCAAATAAGTTGACAGTAACAAAGTTTTTAATGCCTCTACAGCACAAACATAGATTTAAAGTTTTTAGTGTGTCCTGGTAATCTTCTGGTTCTGCACTTATGCAGCCAATGACCCAAGTGAAAGCTCTGCCTCCAAAAGAGTCTCTGAGCATTGCTGTGAGAATGCACTGATCATAGTTTATTTGTTTTGGCGGGTTGCCTGCTAAGAGTTCTTTTATGATATTCTCTAAAGCAAACATACCTGGTTCTGGGTAGGCAGCAAGGTCACAGAAGCTTGCAGTAGACATTCTATGATTCAATACACCATTTGTGCTAACCCACTTTTGTTCAACACTCACTGTAAACACAGTGTGGTTGTTTCCTTGACACCTCTGCCGCCAACCCAACTGTAAATACTGAAAGGCCTCTTCAACATTGCAGCATCTCACTAAGCCAGCTCCCAGTACATCAAATATATTATTATTAACAACTTGCATCCATGTTATGTGTAATATGAATTCTCTTTCTGGCATCTGATTGAGTTTGTGGAATATTTCAGATAAAAACCGAGGCACAATACCTTGGTCACATTCACTGTGAATACATTCAAATCCTGAAACAATACAAATTATAATTTATAATCTGTTTAATTGTACTAGACGCAATGTGAGTCTGTCCTTAATTATATGTTATTTAATAAAGGAGAAAAACTTATATTTTACAATATTTAGCTTGGTCATTAATAGAAAGGCACAAACTGACCAGGTAAATTATATTTTTGATAAACATACAGTATTAATAAAAAATAAAACTCTTGTATTATCAGAATGGCAACTAACCTGGTCCAAATAAGGTGTAAGTTTTGCCTGTGTTAGCCTGTCCAAATACAACTACCGAAGTATCGCAACCATCTAAGAAGCAGTTAATCTGTGGTATCATAAACGAGTTAAAGAGGTTTGCCTGAGTGCAGTCCACTGGCAATGCTCTGTTCACATGAAATGTTTGTCCACTCTCAGTGATTACAATCTGTGTAACAGGATTGCTAAATATACACTGCGATGAGTCCTCCAAATTGGGAGGCTTTAGCCTTACAGCTATTTGCACAGGAATATCCATTTTTACTCAATGTTTACAAAAATTTGAGAAGCCTTTCAGTCAAACTTTGATGGAGTAATTATCAACACCATTTTTTCTAATCACATCATTTAACGTGAACAATTATGTTTAGTATCACTTAAACTTGATTACTATGTACATGTCTTATTGATTTTATTATATTAATAGCCCACAAAATAAGGCTTTATTTCATGAAAACAGACAGAGACAGATGTAGATTGTAGACTTGACAGCAACGCGACAATATTTATATGTAGCAACACAGTCTAAAAAGTAAATTAAAAAAGATTGAAAGTCTATTATTCGCGTTTAAATAAATATTTATAAATCAAATAAAACTTATTGCACCGAACAATAAATTTCATACTGTATTATTTTAGTTTTTCTCACATATTATCTCAATATTTACTAGAATGATTGTCATTGAAATAAATGTTACTGTGCCTGTGCTACAAGCATTTAGTTTTTAATTAAATTAGTAGTTTTTTTACGTAAAAGGTCGGCAAACGAGCAGACAGATTACCTGATGGTAAGCAATCAGCGCCGCCCATGGACACCCGCAACGGAGGAATTACGAGTGCGTTGCCGACCTTTTAGGGATTTGGATTTAAAGACTGGGGGTGGGGAATGTCTGGGCTTCTCCGGTAACCGCACTCACACGGCGAAACACAACGCTGTGGTTGTTTCACGCAGATTTTTTGTTAGGCCGTGGTATCACTCCGGTCGAGCCGACCCATTCGTGTCGAAGCATGGCTCTCCCAAAGTTTTACGGAATAAACAACAATGTTGAGATATTATATTATATTTACACAAAATAAATTTATGTGGTGTTTTGAGTAATCTCAACGATAAAGTGTAATTAAATCAAGCCGAGGATTACTAGGTACCTGCGAGTAAGAGTATCCCGGACATCCCGGCGTACGGCGAATATCCACCCCTACGTTGTTGAGACACCTGCGGCCCGGACTAAGCGTTTTGCCTCGTCATTTATACCGCGTACATCGAGGGATTGGAACAGTTTGCCGGCTGCAGTCTTTCCGTCCGAATACAACTTAGGTGTCTTCAAGGCTAGAGTGAATAGGCTCTTAATAAACTAGTGCGCCTTACCATCAACGATTGCATCACTGCTTAACATCAGGTGGGATCGCAGTCAAGCACTGGTTTATTGCAAGTAAAAAAAAAAAAAAAAAGAGTTTATTATCATAGTGCCGTAATTTTACCTGTTCTTAATTTACGTCAAAATTTTTAGCAGACATTACTTAGAATTTGATTTTTGTTAATACGTAAGAAATACTACAATATGTGTACACTCTTATGAATTAAATCATAAAAAAACATATCAATAATTTGTTTCAGGTAGATACGTGATTTCAATATATAAAAAGAACTACTAGAATGGTAGAAATTTAGAAAGAGCTCTTACAGCACCTCAGTATATGTCAGTGTCAATCATTATAGGCAATTGGGTCAAGTGACTTTCTGACGCACATTCATTCAATTCATTGCGATTTGTAGTTTTCGTAGTGGCAGAGATGCATTCTCTTGTCACTTTTTTCAATTTTCTAGTTATAAAAGGAATTTGTTGACTGTGGCAAATATAAATTCAAGATTATCTTCTGAAACCAAGTCACAATTTTGTATTTATTTTTAATAAATTTATAAGTGATACGTCAAAACATAAAAATTGTTATGGTATTGTATTTTTGGGAAAAAAGTTAGAAAATAATGTGCTAGAACGAATCGATTAAAAGACTGTATAAGGGGATTAGTCTTAAAGACATTCCCGGGCTTAGAATATATTTTCGAATTGGTTGCCGTCATGGAAATGGAAACAGTCGGCGATATCGGATTAGGCCTCCATGAGCCTCCAAAATACGGCTTAAAATTACCACTGGACCATGAATATCCGATACAAAGCAAACAAATAATTATCCCAAATGTGAAGCAAGTTTTCGAAATGGCACCATTAACAGCCAGGTACATATATTTTTGTTATAATAACAGTGCAATTTTATTTTAAACTTGTTTATAATAAACTTTATGGTTTTAATTCACATTACTTCTTTGAATTCTAGTGTGTAATGTTTTGAAAAGTAATACTTCAAAAGTAACAACATGCACTCTTTTACAAGAAAGACTTTAGGAAATAATGTATATATTTTTTTTATTTTAGGTACCTTAAATATTATATTGGTAAGAGGTTTAATAAAAAAAAACCTATTATGGACTACATTCACATGGTATCAGCTCAACGGAAATATGGTAAGTTTTAAATAATACAGAAGTTAACATTGTTTTTAAATAACACCACTTGAATTGGTCATAAGTTTCTAAATATAAAATTGATTCTAACTTTGAGTTACACTTTATCATTTATGCTGCTCTTATCTTCAGTATTTGATGGTCTATCAGGCTTATCTACTAACTTGTCATTTTAAAGTATTTGTGTATATGGTGACATATTTAACCAGTTTAGGGTATTACTCAGGCGGTTTCCTGAAAGATGAATCATAGTAACTAACTGAAAAAATATAAAATAAACAAGAAAAAATTTGCAAATATTATCTATGGAATATTGTGATATTTTATGTGTAACCCTGATTAGATCTCGTTCATTTATCAGTGTGTTATCTTATGGGGTTAGTGCATGTGTCCGATTTGCACTTGGCAAATTTCGTAATCTGCGGTAAATCATAACCTTTACATGCTTTGTTTATCACAGATAACAAACAAAGAATTTATTTCAGTGGGGCTCAAACTCACAGCTCAAAAGAGTATGGAAATACTTTTCAGACTGATTTTTTATATACATATTATTTTCACACAAATACAAATGTGAAATAGTGGAAAATTTATTTGACAAACTAGATTTTTTAATCAAGTTTATCATTACTTTTGAATCTTGTTATAACATTAAATATTTCATTGATGGTAAAATCATTCTCATGTTGTATTCATTCAACATGTGTAGATATTAGATATAGATATGAAGTTTGTCACATTGTCCATAGCACTTATGCTATTATTATATGGATTTGGTTTCCCCATAGTCGGAATTTATATTTGGTTATGCTCCACTAGATTGTTTAGTAACCTACGAAGTCTTGTACAATTGTATATACTGTTATCTTTTGAAGAAGAACAAGTGCCTAAGATAATCAACACTAAAAAGTGTTAGCACCTGTGAGCACTTATGTTTGATATGAATTTTAACAAACTAACAGGCAATCTTAAACATTACTCACACTTAACTTTCGTTATGTATGTAAATAAAATAATATTGTATTGCCCTAGGCTGTCCTATTGGAGGTATTGGTGGTGGGACTATTGGCCGTGGGTACAAAGGCGAGTTCTGTCGCTTCCAGCTTTACCCTGGCATATACGAGTATGTCTCGGTGCCAGAATGCCAGTTCATTGTCAACATACGCAATGGAAACAATGAGACTATTTTCCAGTCAGTTTTGTCAACAAATAAGTAAGTTGCTCATACCACAATATTTATTTATATAATTGCATGTTTGCATGAGTATACCAGTACTAAAATAGAACTTTAAGTGCAGTTGTGTGTCTGTAGGTAAATATAATTAAGTTATTATTTGGTGAATGAATGGCTCATTAATACTGTCTTTGTATCAAGTTCATGAGTATATATAATCATATCAAGGTATAAATTCCGATAGAGACGCGATTTAGCAATTTAATTACGAAGGCACATGCCATTTGTTATAAGATAAGGTATCAGGTAGCTACATCTAGATAGGTGCTGTGAAATTAACAGATTTGTGTTTCTGTACTAACTACACTACATAGTGAACCAGCATTCATCATTCAAAATATGATTTACGACGAAATCCATAAATTCCACAATCCAAGACTAAACTTTGTGTGTCCAGCTTTGTACAAAGCATTCAAAATACTTGGTAGTAATAATTCCAATAAATAAATTAATATTTATAAAAAGATACAACAAATATTAGGGGGTTTAGATTGCACGCATTAAATAAAAAGCAACATTGTGAAAGCTCCACTAAATACCTATTACGTTATCGTGGCTATCATAGTCAACAACAATTATCTGTCCGGTTTAATGATTGGTAAGCATGAATAAGATAATAATCGATTCATTGAGAGCCGGCTGTAGTTTTCCTTGTAAGCTAGTACATACCTAGTACAAATATAAGTTAGGAATAATCGTTCTTAACTACTATTTGTATTAAGATTCTCGTAATTACATACTAAACGAAGTGTAATCAACAATATCATCAATCGTTTGTGATAGTTAACTGCTGGAGTTTGACCCGCTTTTATATAACTGGGTTTATCAAAATCTCCAGCTTTGGTAGGCAGTTTGGAGATTGATGCTACTCTGTCAATGTGTAGTTTATTAGGCTTTGTGATACGCATATGGAAAGAAAAAGGTTATTCTACTTCCACATGATCATGCATTTAACAATTTGCACGTACTAAAGTGTGATATCGAGAAAGTAACTTTAGAATTTTGTCTACTCTGAAGCTCCATTCGTGTATATCGGTCGTAAATATTAAAAAACCACTCTGATTGATTCATCTATCTGCCTCATTCAACTAATGGAGGTCGAGCGAGCCTATTAATGTGATTGTCGATACGATGGTAGCATTCAGCCATAGGGTCACCTCGTATTCTACAGGGAAATTCGAACCCAACTAAACAGAAATAAGGAAGTCATACATTATATGAAAAATATAGGTAATTATATTTCCTGCTCGCTCTAAGATTTAATAGAATATGTTATATTATTTTATACAAAATCAAAATAAAATATTAACCAAAACAAGAAAGTAAAAGGTATCTATTGGATAAGACATTTTATTATTACTAGTATCTTTATACATAATTAATGTAACTTAGTGATTATCTTTTTAATTCAACTGGCTAGTCGACTATCGTCCACCTGGACTAATGACGATAAATCGATTAAAATTCACCTGCAAAATGCTGTGATAAGGCCTAATGTTATTTACCGAACTTTAAGGTTGTATTTAGCGCCGTACTCAGATTTATTTTATGGTAACTGTACCGCGAATCCGACCTGGAACAGAAGAAGGAACGGGGTGGTGTTTAGTCAGTAAGAGCCTGACTGACACACCTTCTTGCCTCATCCAGGGCTATCGCCCTGTGAAGTCATTTAATGACTTTCTCCCACAAAAAAACCAAACATAACATACATTTAAAGCAAGCAATATAAAAATATTTTAACTAACCATTAAATGTATCTGAGTACGGCAGTCATGTGTCTAAAATCCTAAAATTGAAATTTTCCTTTTAGCAAACCACGGAAAGCTCCACATAGTTGGGAGTGGAACCTAAATGGCGCTGATTGCGAGTACACAGCGCTTTACCCGCGTGCTTGGACCACTTATGACCTCACTAAGTATGGAATAAAACTCGTATGCCGACAGATCTCGCCCGTTATTCCACATAACTATAAGGTAATTAGGCCTTTAAAAACCTGGCAACATTTCTAGCTGAACTAAGCAATTCTCGGTTTTTCATAGTACCTACTTAATACACTTTTCCACAATAGTTTTTCTATTCACCTTTCAAAGATAAGGAAATATTTGCTTAAACAAAGTAGTTGTTTATATTTTATCATTCATGTTGCGGCTCAGACATGTGTTATCTGAGTCACGTTTATTTTTTCGTTTTCCAGCCTACACAGATTGGCCATTCTTATTTTCTTTCTTTTGAAAACATGACTATTACTTTTTTTGCTAAAAATAAATGTTTGTTTACAGGACAGTAGCCTGCCGTGTGCAGTATTTGTATTCACCGCTATAAATGTTAGCAAAGAGAAACGGGATGTTAGTATTAGTTTCACATGGACTGAAGTACTTGGAGGATCCCATAAAAAGAAGGCTCTTGGTAGGTTTTAACTTGCATTCATAAATTCGCAA